AGCGCAGGGACCCCAAAAACGGTACACTTAAGCAGCGCAGGGATCCAAAACCTCCCTCTTTTTATCGTTCCACGCCGTTACTGTATCCCGTTTACCACGCCATCAACACGAATACGTTTTCGTTTGAAAATGCATAATTTGTGAAGCGTTTTAACCCGTAAACGCTGATGAGACTTAACGGTTAAAAAGTGAATGCGTCTTCAGAATGCTGTGATTCCTCTGTGGACAAGTGAAAACGGAGGCTTTTTAAAACAACAGCAAAAAAATGCGCCACGCACTGTTGCTTTCGTCCGTGTTTTGGGTGTTACAGTGAGTACGATAGTCGAAAACGCACTAAAGTGTATGCGCTCTCTCGTAATTTCGCCAAGTTTCGATATCTTTTGCCAACACAATCATCTTGTCCTCCTTAACACTTTCAGTTTTGAAGGAACGACTCGACTACACTCTACGGGAGGGATACATGGAAACTAAATACTTGTCTGCGGTCACGTCTCATACATCGTACTGGTCTTCGTGTGATGTGGCACGGTGCATCCTTGAGAATTGCCTGGATCCAGGACAAAATTTGGACCAGTCTTAAGAACGTGTGAGATGGTTGGATAAATTATTACATTAACAACGCAAGTGCCTGGGATCTGCGGTAATTAATTTCGGGTGGTTAACTAGGAAAAAGGGTTTATTATACTATTTCTGAAAAATAGTCCAAGTAACTAGAGATAAGGGAATGTTTTGTCAAATTTTATTCATCATTGGTTAGTTACGCATGTAAAAGTACTTAAGAGGCATTATTTTTATTTACCTGTCAGTGTGGCTTGAAAATTTTATAACTCGAGGTGATCTAGAGTTGAGTAGCCCTGCCTTTACTGCAGTTTAACCCTTGAATTCCCATCAGTTGCCAAGATAGAATTTCTCCTTACAATATCAATACAATATCAAGCAGACAGGTAATGAGAACAAAGAGAAATATCAATTAGAGGATTACTACTCAATCTAATACCAAAATCTCCCAACTAATATGAGAATTGTTTGGCAGACAGTTAGGAGAATTACTAATAAGATCTTGGGAGTGAAAGGGTTTTAAAAAAAGCTGGAATAGGTGCTCTAGGAATATTATTTTGCGAAAATTATGTCATAGGCTCACATAAAACTTCTCCCGGGAAAATGGCATTACGATAATGCAGTATGGGAGAAGTGAAAAATGTTTTGAGATATTTTTTATGATAAATTGTAGGAGACGTAGCACTGACGAAGTGAGGCCTTGACAACGGCGCGCGCACAAGCCTGAGAACGCCGTTGTGTTATAAACACGATGTAAAAACGTGTAAACTACGTCGCGAAAGATTCGTGCGTTTGTCGTGGTCTCATTCCACAATTTTTTCCCCCTAAATTTGCCATGGATAATACAAACTTGTAGGGATGTAAAAGACTGATTGAAGAGCCAACATCGACTAGTTTGTATGATTAACATGCAACTTCTTGCAGCTGATGAGAGCCGACAAAATTATCACTTGGATGAAACTCCAAATTCTCCTAACTAATTCACAAGAAATATTGAGCTGCTGGTAGTGAGAGTCGCCAATCAGATCTGGAAGATTAAGAATTTTAACGTAATTAATTTCGCGCTCCTGTTCTGGAACGTAAGTCTGAGATTTGTGGGATTGATGTTAGCAGCCCTCATGCGCAAGATTTGATAGAAGTTGCCTATAGCAGATTCGGTTGCGATTAAGAAGGATTTTCCCTTCACTAGGTATTAAAACTATTTTGAATACATTCTAAATCTTAGATTTTAAAATCTTTAAAACAAATAAATAGTTTATCTTGTTATTTCGTGTAAATATGCGACAAGCATTTTGTGTACTAATGTAAAAAACTGGCTAGTATTTTAACGCATTGTGTTGCACTGAAAAATGTCAAGAATGGTTCAATAAATATATGGTACAATTGTACACTATGTTCTTTTGCATATTTAAATTGAATCTCCTGTAGCGAACCTTCTCGTTCCTAAGTCGATTTTCCACTTGAGCGGAAATATGGAGACCTGGCTCGAGATTTGGTAAGGAAGATGACGTTATGGTTTGACATTGTTAGGAGTCGAGGCTCGCTTGATACCAGTCCACACCCGCTGTTTCTTGTAGCTTACGTCAGCAATTTGGCGTCGCCCGTTGGTTACGATGTCTTGAACAATGCATAACCATAAAGTGTACTGATTTGTGCTTTGATGAAGTCTTTAAAGCGTTTTTTGTGGCGCCATTTTTCTTCAGCGCTAAATACATCAGCCTTTTCGTTTTTCTGTAAGTTCTTTCAGACCAAAATACAAAAAAGTCATTGGGAAGGAGTTCCTGGACGAACATTGTATCCAATTTGTGACTTTTCTGATGATGGAAAGTAACAACGTCAGCGTTAACATTGGAAAATTTAATTCTAATGTCTGCGTATACCCCTTGGGCAGTTGAGTCGTTGATTCGCTGGACTCAGAAGGAGGTCTGGGCCCAAGACCTAACCGTGACATTGTACTGTGTCCTTGGCAAAGACATTTCATTTTCACTTACAAGGAGACAAACGGCTGCTGAAACAGCCTCGTGACCAGGGCCTTTCCGCCCTCTCCAACTTTTCAAGGGAAAAGCCTCGGAAACGAGGTTACGCTTCGACAATAAGGAATAATTTATGCCCTTACCGTGGTAGTATAAACTTTTCCAGCTTTATTGATAGCCACATACAATCCTGATTCAACGTGCTTTATTCTAATTAGGCTAGTTCCACAAGACTGAAGCTCAAACAGACCTGAAACAATAAAAAATGGGGTACATTAGCTGCCGGAGAGCGATCAGGAGATCTGGAATTTTAGCAGGTAAAATTATATTTCTAACATAGTGCGCGCGTCTCTCCCATTCTTTCATATCCAACCATCATATCTCTAAAAACGCACGGCCGTTCAAGAATCGAAGAAGCTAGAAGAAGTACTTCGAGCAACTCTTGCGCTTCTTGCCTACTTCCCAAACTTCTCGCGTGCACCCTTACCTCGAGATAAGCACGCTAAGCTTGGACTAGCCTGTTCATAATCTCATACCCAGCTCCCACCGTATAACTGTCACTGAAATGTACAACCACTTGGCCGTGGAAGGTCAAGGTACAAGATTTGCCTGCTCTAGGTGTTCAGTTATATTAGATGAAAAGTATAAAACAGAGCGATGGTAAAAGCAGAGCGAAAACTAGGGAAGTTCACTAACCAACCCGACCTAAGCCCTCCTTGCTGTTACTCTCCACGGCCGTTTCCTATCGCGCTTGATTTTACTAACTGAACGCCTGGAACAAACTAAGCATGGAACAATTCTTAACCAACACAAATATCGAAAATTTTAACTCACGCGATCAGAGATCATGTTTGTTTACTAAAAACCAAAATAGGATTATATTTGATGGAGCTCATTTCCCCCGGGGGTGGTTTTCATCTCCAATGTGTGAATAATTATTTTATCATTTTACGCCAACAATGATTATCGTGACTTTGCCTGAAAACCAAAATAGTATACTCTGTAAAGGTGGTCATCTTTCCCAGGGGGGTTTTTCCCTTCTATTATAAACAATTATGTTAACGTTTCACACCGACATTAATTATCGTGACGTCACTTGAAAACCATTCACAGCTGTTAATCCCTCAAGGACCAATTTAGTCTGTTGATATTTATACAATAACAATCAAGAACATGAATATGTATTTACTTCGGAACAGTCATGCATTCCTTGGTAAAAATTCTCTGACAGCGTGAACGTCGTGAAGTGAAGATGTTTTTAAGATGTCTATAGTCGTATTTGTACTTACATCTGTTTGTCAGCTGACAATAAGTGTCATTCACCCCCTGCAGTGTTCCATTTGACAAAACCGCCAGATGAAATCTCAGTTTACTCCAGAGTCGAGCTAGTCTCTTGTGAGTGGGAGCTGCATTTCCGTCGCAGCTTCCTCTTGGATTAAAATACGTTGGTACTTTGTATCTCCTCGGTTGCAAGCCGCTTCCACGCAGTTTTATTCTTGAACTTACGCATGATAGTCTTGTTGTTATAACAAACACGGTAATAGATAGAAATAGCTGGCGACCAAACAACATATTAAAGTTAGAAATGACCCTAATGGAGACTTAACTGTTAATACAAACAGTCTCTCAGGTCCATCAATTTATATATCACAGTATTGGACTGGGAAAATTTTCTGCGATCGTGGTAATATCTTAAAATTGTCACAGTTGCATGTCATAGGTCATGGTTAGTACAGCGTGTGAATTTTTAGCCTACATTCACTTTATATATTTTCTTTATTTGCAATCCGTTGTGATGTGCCTTCTCTCTGGTTCTATATTTCTTTGTTTTGGCCTTTTTGATGTGTTTTTGTATACCCTAACAACCGTTCCCTTCGGGGTTCTACTTTAGATCAAGTCAATTCACTATGACGCAGAGCTAGTCCGAAAATATCGTGAAGTAATTTAGGCTGGCGTCACGTTGAATGTTCGCTGCCTGTCTTTGGATTGCATTTAAAAAATAAAGCAACTTTACGCATTCGCTTAAGAATGTAATTTTATATTGTGATTTTTTATCTTTTTGTTTGCAGATCTCTAAGTTTCCTAGAAAAGAAAACGAAATCAGTGACAATTTTTTTTCTCTCTTGGGTATTTCGTTAAAATCTAAAATATTAGCACACGTAATTTGTCATTCCTAATAGGAACGCGAAAAAAGAGTCGACGTCAGATTTCTAATTTTACCACAATTAAACGACAATAGCATTGTCTAGTACCTATATTTTAACCATTTAACCAAGATTTCAGTGCACCATTAACGTCATACTATGGTCTTCACGTGCTCAGCTGTCAAACTAATTTGCACGTGCGAACTTAGTACCTTAAGGCCACCGCGTGATTTTAAATTTCCCTAAGAGATAGCACTTCAGTTGACTGATCACGGAAAAAATGAAGCTAGACAAATAAAAGATGAAAAAAAAAAAACGCCTAAGGCGGGTACAAAAGTTATAACTACGAATCCAAAGTTCTAACCACGGATCAAAAGTTGTACCTACGAATCCAAAGTTATAATTGCGGGTCCAAAGTTATTGCTACATATCCAAAGTTGTTAATAAATACCATCATGGGATCCGCCGTCATTCCTTTGAATGCGTCTGAGAGGCTCTTAATGAGGTTAACCATTAGCCGTAAACCGTCAAAAACAGTTAAGCCGTAAGGAGGCGTAAAAATTGACAAATATGTAATATTATTCTTTTAAAAAAAAGTTCACCTTGAAAGGTAAAATTTTTTCTTTTAACCGCAATGGAAAAAAAATTAACGGTCAAAATTTTAATCGTTGGCGGTAAATGTCATCACCCCCTTCCAGACTATCGTAGAAATTAACAAATTTTTACGTCAATATCCACTTTTTTCATTAGTTTAGAGTGCCACTTAGAAGTCACAGTAAGCGACATTGTTGAAGTCAGAATCGGCCAATATCTTATCATTCGCAAGAAAAGATGAAACAAAAACTGTTACTATTATTTTGCAATCAGTAGCTGCTATACTACACAACTACAAACTGTTTTTTCGACGTGGCTACAGTGTGACTCAACTTAAAGGTTTTGAAGAAAAAAAATTTACGCAAACAAGTTTTCAGTCGAGATTATTAAGTATCAGTTAAGTTCTTGCGATATTGTGGCGTTTGAAATCACATTTTTGTAGCAGTATTCGAAAGCAGTGTTCTTTGCAAAAGTAGTTTCAAGCTTACCAAATATACAAAAGAAATGATTTGGCAATTTTAGGGTTTTAGTGAAAGATTTCGCTTCTTTAAAAAATGCCAACTCTCATTATTGATTAATTCAAATAGAAATTTAAAACAAAATTGAGATATTTCACAGATTCTTCACCGAAAGATTTGGTGTCTTACTTAACACGAGTCTGGACTAAGACGAAACTAGCATGATTTTAGGTTAATCCGCGAATATTTGTTTTCATGGTACACGTGGTGTGGTATTTGAAACAAACTTAAATACGACCGTTAGCATGTCAGTGTAGTTGTTGCATCTAATATACCAGCGAAATATAGATTGTTACAATAATACTGGATTTGTTTTACTCATACTGCTTCCCCTTAAGTTTTTGACCTTCGTCTGCAAAAAGCAATGTTTAGCCTTTTCTAATATTATACTTATGTTGCAATTTTCGATCTTCAAAGCGAAGACATTTTTTTCAACAGACAGTAATTATAAGTTAATTGAACTATTAACTAAGTGCACTTCAACACAACAGTCTCAGTAAACTTGAATATCGCGTCAAAAATTATTTTTACAAACACTTACCATTCTAAACTCCATTTGACTGAGAGAGCTCTTCTCGCTTTTGCTTGTTCACCTTTAAGCTTGTCCAGAAAAACTGCAGTTTTCCTGTCGCCCCCAGACTGATATAAAGCCTTCCATTACCTCACAGGGCGTGTTACCTCACTTTTGTTTTGACGCTGTATGAAATAAAAGAAAACATTTCAGAAATTTCGTTTCTATATTATGCATAATTCGGATCCTTTCTGCGTAGAAGCTTTATTTAAACGTGTTTTTGCGGTGTCGTGTTTTTTAAAAACCGTTAAGAACACTCGAATATTTCTTTTTGCCGCAAATCGCAAATCGACTGTGCTTTTGTGCGTTTAAAGGCGAGCCGTGTCTGAGAGATAAAAGGCTTTTTGTTTATGTTCGACTTGAAATTTCATGGTCTACAGAGCACACTGACTAAAATGGTTAGAACAATGTTTACTTCTAAATACCGCGCTGTTTACTTCTAACTATGCCGCATATACTGCCGGTAGTAAAATGTACTTTAGTGATTTCTAGAAATGATTCTGTGCATATTGCTTAATAATCTCGCTGCTAAAACCGCATATTGGGCTTCGATACATAACCGAAAAGTAAGCAAGTACGTTGGATAAT